CCGGGCAGTTCTATTTGTGACGATATATATAATATCTATATGTTGTCAAATAGAACTGCCCGGTAAACCGTAGGCAGAGAGTGAGAAAAGGACAACAAACGAGGGGCTGTGACAAACTGTTTATATATCTATATATCATGGCTACGCCGGACCCGGACCCGGACATTTCTGGACATGGAACCGGACCCGTGTCCGGTAGTTTCCGGATGTCCGGAATTCCGGACATTTCGGGACCTCCGGACATGGTGGGATCCGGACGGTCCGAAAATGTCCGGACCATTAAAAAAAAATAAAAATAAAAAAATATGAAAAAAAAGTATGTTATGCAGAATAACAATGCAAACCACTTTTGCCTCAGAGTCAATAAGAATTCCTAACCAAACTTGAGTTAAAGTCAAAAACTATAAAAAGCTTAAAAAAAGACTTTAAAAACTAATAAAAGGTAATGAATTATTAATAATTAAAAAATTGGGGTTGTCTAATAAATTACTATAGAGAGAGAGCATGTCCGGACCCCCCAAAAAAGCATAAACGGGCCTGAAAAAACCCCAAAACAATTTTGGGGGCTTGGCTCCTCAATGAGGAAGGGTCCTGGACCATTTTTTTTTATTTTTTTTTCTCGAAATTTGTCAGATCCGGACCTTCCAGACTGGACGTCTGGATTCCGGACTGAATCCAGACCGTCCGGACGGCGGTCCGGACGTCCGGATCGTAGCCATGCTATATATATATTTGTTTGTGACGATATATATAGATATAGTCAAACAGAGCTGCCCGGTAAATCGTAGGCAGAGAGGGAGAAGAGGACAACAAACGAGGGGCTGTGGCAAACTGTATATATATATATATATAGTGGTTCCGACGCATGTTGCGATGGTCCTTGTATCATCCAATTTCTTCTTCACCCCCACGGTGCTCTTGTCCTGCCCCTGCTTACTCATCTGCTGCTACCGCAGTTTCCACTGCTGCAGTCTCCACTGCTGGAGTCTCCACTCCTGCAGTTTTCACTGCTGCAGTGTCCACTGTTGCAGTTTCCACTGCTGCAGTGTCCACTGGTGCAATTTCCGCTGCTCCAGTTTCCACTGCTGCAGTGTCCACTGTTGCGGTTTCCACTGCTGCAGTGTCCACTGTTGCGGTTTCCACTGCTGCAGTGTCCATTGCTCCAGTTTCCATTGCTCCAGTTTCCGCTGCTGCAGTTTCTACTGCTACGGTTTCCACTGCTGCAGTTTTCAGTGCAGCAGTTTCCCTAACTGTAATTTCCCCTTCTTTAGTTTTTACTGCTACAGCTTCCTGTCGTGCAGCTCCAATGCAAATAATATCACAATCTCTTCGACGCTCACGTCCTTTTCTCCGAAATCTTGCCCAATGCACCCCCCTCTCATATTTGTCTGTGCTTGGCCGTAGACGATTGCGTTCCTCCTCACCACCCCCATCTCTTCCACGGTCTTGCTTGCGAACAGACTCTCCAGTTTCCATTGTGCCCATTGTTCCACCTGCGTTGCTAGGTACAAGTTCAGCTTCTCTTTGCAACACCACTACTCCTCTTGTTGTGTATCACCGACGACATCCGTGACATCGTCACTTGTCCGGGGATCAGCAACCTGTTTCTTTGTCTGCTCCGATTCTCTCTGTGCCTCCTCCACAGGTTGTTGCGGTTCCTTTGTTTCAAACGGCAATATCCGCTCCTATGCCTCCTGCAGACAGTCCAGCTGCCTGCAGGCAGCCACCAGCCCCTACTCAGGATGCAGCTGCTGCCCAGAGCACACTCCCGACTCCAGGTACAGTCCTTGCTCAGGATGCAGCCCTAAATGTTGAGGGATTGGAACATGATCTGCCCGGATTGCAGTTGACCCCACAAGACGTAGACCACATGGGGGATCTGCAAATGGCTGGCCAGCATTGTTCGGATGAACCACAATTTTGTGCTCCGCCACACGCAGACCACATGGGTGATCTGCAAATGACTGACCAACAAACAACCCAACACAGTTTGGGCTTGCAACACCATCTGGGTGATCTGCAAATTGTTGGCCAGCATCCAACAAACCAGCCTGAGAACCTCACCAATCTCTGTGGTCTGACAACAACTATTATTTGTCTTAACATTCTCCATCGCCCGTTTTATACACCATCAGACTTCCTTGCAATTGCCCTTCAGCTTGATGCTGATCTTCCCCAACGGCAGCCAGAGGATTGTAATTATACCAGCGAAGGAGGCTTTACCATTGCTGTCCTACAAGTAGCAATGACGGACCGTCAACTTGAACTACACAATGCTCGAGCAGGTGAGTGGTTTAATCCTCCATCCCACATCTCTGCCTGCATTGTGCACGGCCCTGGCCATTACATGGCCATTGTACATGCCTCTGACCACTGGGAGTTGTGGGACAACGGCACCATGGTCCATGCCGTGATTGATGTCCCTGATTTCTTACAAAATGATGCTGTTTTCTTGCCACAACAAACCGTCCGCAATCTCTTTTATGTTGAAGATCATTCCTCTGGCCCTGTGCTGCAGCAAGACAATGCACCAACACTCTGCGACCTTCTCCTTTGCACAACCACAAACACTGTTACACTCGGCTGTAGCTGTCATCGTCTCTATCACAATCACTACAATGACATGGTTTCTGCATCCATGTGTGCAGAGGAATGTCCCACCGTTCCTGACTGCAGGCACCCTCCGCATCCGGACACTATATGTCCATTTTGCGTCCATGGGCGCTATACTGAATGCATGTTCTTTTGTGGTGACCGTTCTTCTTTCATTTTGGCCTGCAATAGACATGCCATTTATCGGGGGTGTATGGCGGGCATGCTCAATGCCACCCGTCGTGGCAATTGTTGCACTGAGAATGCTCAGCTAGGTCTTCCATGTGTTCATCCACGCCATCCTTACAATGTATGTCCTCTCTGTCGTCAAGGACAGACTCATTCTTGAGCCTTTTCTTATCCTCTTTTGCCTTCATCTTCACTCCACACTCCATACTTTCCCTTACTTTCCCTTTGTCGTTCTTTGTTTGTCTGCTCTCCATCTCTCCTCCCTGTGTTTATCCCCTCCCCCTTCACTCTGCCTCTTTCTCACAGCGTACAAGTGGGCTGTGTTATGGCACACGGGGATGGGGGCAGCTCGAGTGCAACGTCATCAACGTGGCGAACCTTGTACGTGAGAGGCACGGTGAAAGGGGAGTCAAAAGAGTAAAATGAATGGTTTCACTGTGCCCTTCATCACAGAGTAAAATGAATGGTTTCACTGTGCCCTTCATGTTTGTCTTGTGTTTTTTTTTTTTTTTTTTTTTTTCATTTTTGCCGTTTGTTTCGCAAATTGCGCTCTTTTAGTTCATAGTTGTGTGACAATATATATGCAATTCTGTAATTTTACAGAAGTTGCCTCGAGTGTCACTCTGGACCTGCGCCTACCTGCTGCTGCTGATTGTCCTTGTTGTCGGGCCTTTCCTAACTGCACCGATGTGGTTGACGGCCATGTTGTTTCCGCCAACTATGATCTGATTCTTTATGCTAACCTTCGCCGCCTGTTCTATGAGGGCTCTAAATATCGACTGAATGGGGTAGTGGGGGATATACTTCAAGCACTGGCTGTTGGTATTGATGGGTATATTGGTGCGTATCTTCGTTCGACAGCACGACAATCCTGCGCTGCTACCCTAGCTTCACAATTGGCTCTTTGGCGTGCCGCAGTTTTGCATCACTGTGAGTGCTATATGGCTGCCGCATCACCTTTGCGACAGCCTCGCTCTTTGCGACACGCACATACAGCCCTGCGTCAGCTCCAAGAATCCTTTGCAATATTTCCTGTGGATAAAACATCACATAATCTGGCTATTTGTTGTAAAAACTGGTATCGTTTTAAGATCTCTGCCCATCTTGACAGTCCTACGTATTCTCGGCCTGCGGAAACAGCGGCTGACATTCTGAATAGCCATGCACTTTGGAACAATCATTGGAATTATCCTCATGCTGACACATTGCCGTATCTTTATTGTGCTCTTAAGGCCCATAAGTCTCCTCCCACACTCCGTACTATTCTATATATCCCTGCCCGCAACAATCTTTCTTCTTCTCATACGGCCCAGTGAAGTGACCTGCGCCCCTCCCAACGAGTCCAGCGTTTGCATCACCGACCGCCTCACAAGCCTGTTGCTAGTACAACACATACGTCGACTCGTTTGAGTGCGGCACTTCAAGGCGTCATCTGTACTCTCCGTGTAAAAGATAATCAACTCTTCCAATCCGAAGGTATTTGTCGATGTTGGATTGTCCAGAGCAGTGACGAGGTTATGCTTGACCTCAAAAAGAATAAAGCTTCTCTCCGAGGTCTGGCCCCCCATACGGTCGATTTCATTACTATGTATACTAATCTTTCTCATCAACGGATTCTTGACAATGTTGCTAAGGCTGTTGATGAGGTACATGCCTATGCCCTTGCACAGGCACAGCAGCATACACGGACACACTCATCCTGTGTTGCTCTTTGTATGGTGGTCCGTGGACCACGTGCAGGGGAATGGACTACGGATACGGGATCTGACACTCTTTCTGTGTCTGACATTCTTCAACATCTTCGGTTTATTGTTACTAATACATATCTATATACAGCGAATGGCCTTGTTAATCATCAGGACGTGGGTATTCCCATGGGTACAAACGCTGCTCCTGAGATTGCTAACCTTACACTCTATTGGGATGAGGCGCAGTACGTGGACGACCTGCAGCGTGTGGATCCCTCTGCAGCTCGCCGATATGTTTTCACTTATCGGTTCATTGATGATGTTCTTACCTTTGGTTGTCTGCCACCATCGCCAACCTATTATGGTCTTGAATGGAAGGAGACCACTGCGGCTGATGGCTCTTGCACTTTTTTAGGTGCGAAACTGAAGACACGAGCAGATGGATCTCTCCGATTGAGTGTGTTTGACAAGACAGTTGCATGGGATTTTCCTGTTATACGATATCTTAGTGCAATGTCAAACATTCCGTCTCATCAGCCTGCAAGCGTGTTCACCGTCCAGCGTACGCGGTTTGAGCAGATTTGTGACAATTGGCATGATTTCAGAACTGCGGCAACCATGCTTGTCCGCCGTTTGCTTTCCTGTGGCCATGCGCCTTCGACATTGGCCCGTGGATGGACTTGTTACATTCGAGCGCGCCAAAGTCGACAACCTATACATGTAACTCGTCTTACACAATGGTTTCAACGTATGCTTCGCTGGTCCGTGCATCATGCTCTTCCACCTTCTCCTCCTCTTTCCTTCACTTCTTCTTCTCCCTCTCCCCCTCCTCCTCCCCCTTCCTCTTTTCCATCTTTTCCTCCTCCTCCGCCTCCCCCTCCCCCTTCTTGTCCATCTTCCCCTCTTCTGTCTTCCCCCTCTTCCTCTCCACTTCCCCCTTCTTCTCCCCCTCCCCCTCCTCCTCCTCCTCCTTCCCCTTCCACTTTTCCATCTTCTCATCCTCCGACAACCTTCTCTGCCACGTCGATGGCGTTTGTCATTCATGCGCCGACCCCGCCAGATCAGACCTAGCTTTCCAGTGGTGACCGAATCGGATCTGCAGTCAGATCTACCAAATGCTTGTGGGTTGACAGCCACAAATGTCTGCCTACAGGCTTATCAGYGTCAATGTTATACTGCTTCCCATTTTGTTACRATTGCTTATCAGSTTGACGCTGTTGAAAATCAGTTGTTGTATGACCATAATGGTCCACCTCCTGAAGGTAGTTATTATACTACCTCAGGAGGCTTTACTGTAAATGTCTTACAGCTAGCTTTCCACGGTCGCCACCTTCTTATGCATCTTGTGACTCCAAGCGATGACCTTAATGACCATCCTCATATTTCTGCCTCTATTTTGCACAGACCTGGGCATTATATGGCACTCATTCGTGCAGCTGCCCAGTGGGAACTGTTGGATGGTGGGACAATGATTCAGGCTATTTTCAATATAAATGAATTTCTGTGTGCATTACCAAATCATACTTTATTCTGGATTATTGATCGACTCTCGTGTGACACCTGTCGGGACAGGGACGCGGTGCGTCTTGGCTGCGGAATTCATCACCTATGCCATCAACATTATCAATCTATTGCAGCCGCCGGCGTCTGTGCCGAAGGGTGTCCAACATTTCCTCATTGTACACATCCCTATCACCCAGATATTCGCTGTCCCTTTTGTGGTCAAGGACGCTATCAGGACTGCATGATGCCGCACTGTGATGAACGTCCTGCTGTTTTTTTGACATGTGGACAGCATGTCCTTTGTCAGGACTGTTTTGATGGGATGGTCCGTGCTAGCCGTCCTGCTGAATGCTGTGCTGAAGTAGCTCGCCTTGGGTATCCTTGTGAACATCCACGTCATCCTCAGCGGGCCTGTCCTATCTGCCGGGGTGGGGGTTCCTCTTCCTGATGGGTCAATAGAATTAAGCGATCAGGAGCAACACAAATTGCAAGGGAGAAATTTGGTCGGATGGCTTTCATGCTGCTTGTGCTTGGTTTGCAGGATTCTCAGATGCCCCTCCACTCTTTTGTAATGTCCGTCTAGTCTCTGACCGTCTCCAGGTTTGGTTGGGTGTGCCTTTTTTGTTTTTTTCCCCTCCCTGTTTGTTTTTCTTTTTTCTCTCTTGCAGCCTTCGCTGCATCAGTGCCATCATCTGAGGTGGTCCCCAGAGGCGAGTTCTTACGGTTTAGCAAGAGGGACTCTCTTGCCCTAGAGGCTGCTTTTGAACGGGTAAGATCTGTTTTCTTTTTTTTGTTTTTCTTTTTTTTTTTAACTTTCAAAATTTGGACTCTTGCTCAATTTATGGGTATCATTTTTGCGCAGGCGCGATGTGTATCGATCTTCGCTGTATTTTGCCAATTTCAAAGGATGCCCCGAAGGACTGAACGGATAAGGTTTGTAGAAATTGGCTTTGTATATTTTTGATGGTTAGTTAAACCACCACCACCTTCTGGAGGCACAGGCTAGTGGTAAATATAACCTACCGTCCTATTCTGGATTCTTCGGAGGCTGGGCACCACCAGACCAAAACGGCTGGCGGCACCAGGCAGAACGAAAGAAAAAAGTCACGGTGGCGCTTCGGCAAAGCTTGGTGCACAATTCTTTTCCGCCTTGGCAAAGAGAGACTCGGAAGTAGTGGAGGTTTAGGATGGGGGGGGGCGGACATGGTTAGTGGAAACTATGAAAGTAGTTTGTGATATTCCTCGTTGTCAGTAAGTCTTTTTCTTCTTCTTTGGCTTCTTCGTGTTCTTATATCCAGCTCTGTGTACAGAATCTACAGATTCATGTTTGGTAGCACAAATGTAGTGACTTCCCCCCGTCTTTTGTTTTCGTCTTCGATTTATGCTCGTCATCCTTGGGCAAGGGACATGCGAACCTTCCCAATTGTAACAGATGCCCCGAAGGATAGGATGTGCCAACTATTCCATGCATCAACATGCTTTCACCTCCTCCTCTTCGTCATCATCGACAATTCTTCTTCTTCTTTCTTCTTTTTGTGTGTTGACCTCCTCTTACATGCAGTGGTGTTCGCTTTGATCTGACTTGACAGAGGGAGGAGGAGTTGTTGACAGCATGGTGGAAAGAGTTTGCAGATTGCAGTGTTGGGCCAACGATTGGGATGTCCTCGCCGGTGAACATACATCATGCAGGGTCTTCAGCAGGATCGACGACCCTTCATGATGATCGGGGTTGGAACTTGGATGATGGCCACCTCCGGGAGGACCGAGAGGATATAGGAGTCATTGTCAAGGGAGGCTTGTATGAAGTTGACTTGCTGCGGCGAAGATGCTTCGCTGTTTATTGGGGAGGAGAAGATCGACGAGTGTTACGAGGCCACTGGTTTGCTTGCAAGGGTGGAACAGATTGGTTGCCTCTCAGAGAGGATATTGCCGAGCAGCTCGAGTTCGCATATCGAAGCCAGGTATTGGATACTCTTTTCTTTTTCTTTTTTTTTTTTCCTTTCTTTTTAATGGGATACTATGATAAATGCAATGTTCCAGTTTTTTTTTTTTCAAATTTCAATGGCTAAATAAAATTGAATATGCATTTCCGTAATAGGTTCTGATCCTATGTTACCGGGCCAGATATCCGGGACCCCCCTGACCGGCCAGGGTTGTCCGGCCGGACAACCGATCGGATCTCCTCCCGGGGTACTCTGTCCAAACCAGAACGCCCAAAAAAAAAAAAAAAAAAAAAAAAAGAAGTTAAAGAACCAAAAAAAAACTATGTTTTGCAGAAAAATAAAGTGAACAACTTTTGCCTTGGGGTAACATCGAAAATTTTTACCAAATTAAAAAAAAATTAAAAAATTAAAGACACCCCCCCAAAAAATCCTTTTTTTAAATTTTCAGTGCTTTTAACTGCTGAAAATGGAGTTGTTCTGGCCCGGATGTCTAGGACCCTCCTGACTGTCCGGCCAGGATGTCCTGCCATCGGACAACTGGTAGCCTGGTTCTGATGTCATTAATCCTTTCAAGTGTCGCACACTATCTTTTGTGACCGACCGGTGCGATTGTAGCAGTGGGCGTGTACAGTCCGTGGGTCCACATTGGCATCTGTGTTGGGCCTGCCAATGCATGTTTGTCTGCTGGACATGAAGGTCAAAAAAATGAAGGGGAAAAATAAGAGAGGGTTCTCCTTCCCCTATCCATATCGATCCTGATCCTTCTCTTCCTGTGAGACCCCCTCCTGACATTATCTCAACCCCCCGGTTCTGTCCACAACCCATCTTAGTCTCGTGCTATACTCCCGGCTCCCTGCCATGACCTGTCACCCTCAAGACCTGAAGCACGTTGTCGAGTGCGTTGGTCCCGCACAGGGACCGTCCCGGCCACGTCACGCAGGATTTTGGTAGTTGAGGCGCAAAGCATTCAAGGAGCGGTGCAGCTCCGGCTGAGTGCGCTAGCTATACCTCTCTTGAGCTCCTATGATAGGATAGGCCTTCACGAGGTAAACTTACCTCCACCTGTGGGAGCTGTCACCATCCCTTAGGTGGGCGTTTCCTCACCGACCTACTCGCCCACATGCGAGCGCTTTTGCGTGCAATTGCAGAGGTGCATCAGCAAAGGGCGTTTCTCGTTCGCTGGAGCATAGGGGTTACGCGTGGTCAACACCCGAATTGAACCCGTGTGTGAATCGACGCCTGGGGCGCTGATCTCCCTGGTGCGACTTTACGCCGGTAGACTAGGACGACCAGTCTAACCACACGATACAATTTTTAAAGAAAACTTAAGCGCACGTTCAAATCGCACCTAGTTTTGCTTTTCTGTTCAACCCATAGTTCTTTCAGAGTCTGGGTGGGTAGGCTTTGCGAGTGAGACTTAGTATAAGTAACGCGGCGGTGCGAGCCTTGTCATATCAACTAGCCATGCCTGAATACATGAGTAGTCAAAATGACGACGTACTATGTGGTGCCCATGACCACGCGGCCCTCAGTGGTTTCGAGGGTCGCATTCGATACCCAAGTGTCGGTTGACACGCGTCTTGAGGGGCAAGACAATTGCGGATGCGGTTGCGCGTCCTACCCTTTTCTGCACCCTGTGGCCCTGCGAAGAAGAGTGGTAGGGGTTGCCCTACTAGCAAGAGGTCGAGTGCTGCGATCTATGGCACCACGACCTTTTTGTTTATAATAACATCCACATCCCACCAAACAACTCCCAACAAGGAATCCAAATTGTTGAGCACGCATAAACGTAAGACTCGCTGTGGGCTTCGCGTCGTAACGTGCACACGCCCTTACCTATAATAGTCGGACAAAATAACATGGTTGAATCTTTTAGATAGGAGGTTGTGTGACATTAGACAATCACTCTTACAATTAGTGATGTTGCTGTCCATCAGCATCCTCACCAACAAAAGCAGTCGTCAGAACTTAAATCCCATATCTTCCACGCATACCTCTGACCACACAAATTGAACAGCAGCATGCCACGCACTAAAAGGTTCAACTTTACCATTCCTTGTGACTCATACCCTGCCTTGCGCACACAAGCCCCAACCATTTTCCACCTTCCCATGAAAAGATACTCTGTCCTTTAGAATGGCCATTGAAAAGTAACCTGGGAAAAAACCCAAGAAACATATCAAACCCAAGGGGGTAAAGCTTTAGGTTGAGCTGTAGAGGTAGGTGAAGTTGTGTTGTACACCAACCTGTTATCAAATGATAACAGAAGATGAGCGATCCTCGATGGATCGAAACTAGTCGAGCCATCCATTAAGCGCAAACCTGCATGCTAACCTTCTTCAAACTCTCCTTGATTGGAGCCAGAGATTGCTGAAAATTTCGGCAGCATCTCCCCTAGATAGGTGGATTGCAAAAATTTTCAGAATCAAAAATTTTACCAACTCCCTAGAGTCCCTAGATTTACAAGAAATTTGGCAGCACTTGTCTTAGGAAAGCGAACTACCAAAATTTAACTCACTCCCTACGGTAAGTTCAGACCTCGAGAATATATGTCATTTCGGCTTCTCCCTAAAACTGGCCTTTTATGGTTATATTGGCAATAATCCTGCTAAAGGTGGGCTATTTCATGCTTGCTAAGCTTCTGGGAGGACACATTCGCATCACGTATGTTTATTGTTGTGTGTATTGCAATGTCCATCTTGAGAATCGATGGCGTTGGAGTTACATTTTCATCACCAAGTTTTATCCTAGGCTGTTTCTCCGGGCGCCGGGGCACCCAACTTATGCCTGGGTGCCTCGCCAGGCTTTTGACCCCCGGGCAGGGTTCAGGGCAGCCCCAGCGCCAAAAAAAAGAAAAAAAGAAGTCCGGGACTGTCCGGGGGGAAAAAATGTTGTGTAGAATTGCAATACAGGGTGACATCAGAATTCCTCACAGAATCAGAGATAAAAAAGAAAATAACAGAATCACCGTAGGCACCCCCCTTTAAAATTTAAATCCATTTAGCCCCCTTAGAACCAATTTATACCCCCCTCCCCTCTCCTTGACGGCCAACTCTCAAACACAGAAATGAGCCCGGATTTGTGGTCCTCTGGGAGAGCGCAGAAAACCAAAAATGAAAAAAAAAAAAAAAAATTGCACGCCCGGGTGCCTGGCCAGGCAGGACCGGCGGGGCGTGACAATCTTCCTAGGTTTTTTATCCCCAATTATGGCAATGGTGCATGGAAGGGTCTGAAGTGTCTTGGATTTAGAGGATCGATCACAAGGAAGCTCTATTTTAATCACGAAGCCCTTGCTGTTTGCGGTGTGCGCTACTGTGCAAGATTTCCCTTAGGTGTGGCGCAGGAGAACATTTCAACCATCCGGGCTTTATGCGGCGCGTGTAGAACTGGCGGGCGCGACTCAGGTGCTCTTCGTTTTTCCTCTCTCTCTCTCTCTCTCTCTCTCTCTCTCTCTCTCTCTCTTGCTCTCGCTCTCAGCCACAATGCACACGTATAAAATTGTGTTGTTATGTCCATGAAGATGCTGCTTTTTTTTTAAATTTTTTTGTTGTATTTTATTGCACTATCAATCTTTCCCTCCTTGTGGGTAGATATATGGATGATAGACTTAGGTGTTCTTCGTTGTAGTTTACTGCACGTATGTCCGCAACTTTTGGTCGACAGTTCATCATTGCTGAAAGCATGGACTGAAATAAAGGGGAACAATGTGCAATATGTGTGCCATATTCGTCCAATATACGCGTCAAAATATGTGCAATGTATGTGTCGAAATATTTGAAACATATGTGCGATCAGTTCATCATTGCTGAAAGCATGGACTGAAATAAAGGGGAACAATGTGCAATATGTGTGCCATATACGTCCAATATACGCGTCAAAATATGTGCAATGTATGTGTCGAAATATTTGAAACATATGCGCGATGTTAAGTGCGATACGCCGATACGTTAATATCCGTCCTTTCTGCCAACAGTGCCAGGGTATGCGAACCATCAAGTTCTCCCAGGGAACTCTCTGCCTCCTGGTTATTATCAACTTAAACGCACAGCATGGCCACTATCGCTATAGCTGGCACAAAAGTAGTCTTAAACTTCTCGCCAACCCTCTACCGGGCCTGTGCACTGTAGATTCTGGCCCAGTACTCGTGTACAAGCAAAATCTACAGTGCTCATGCGGATGTACTGGTGGTTTAATTGCTGGAGTTTGCGTCCATATATATCATATTCTGCTTGTGATGAAACATTTGTGTTCAGACTCCACAGTATTGATTGTATTGCAGACGAAGCACGCGGAAAAGAGAGTTCAATCGTTGTCGTTTTAACACTACAGTGACATGGATATGTAGTATGTACACAATGTACAAATAGTGAGGTCGTCGTGCACACGAAGCCAAGATCTGACGGTTGTATCTTTCCAATCCAATGATATTGAAACATATCCTGGCAGCACCTGTGCTGTCCTCCTTTCGTTCTTTCTTTGTTGCATCTGCTTGGTGGCTTGCTTGCGTGTGTGCGTGTGCGGGAGGCTAGGGGTTGCATGCCCTGTTTACAGGGGAATCACATTCGTGGGAGGCATGGATGTGCGTCGAGGCCTTCAGTACGAAGCTTTCAACCGTTTTTGGACTGAGAGGCAGCTCTCCCCCGGGGTATAAGCTACGGCGTGGCTTTGCTCCACCTGAGAATCCTCAAGCATCGCAGGTACCCCCTCAGTCTTTGCCATTGGCAGCCTCCGCCCTGCTTCTCACCCTTGGTTTCACTTCTCCTCTCTCTATAACTCACTCCACTTACCCAGCCGGGCAAAAAATGAATTAAAAAAAAAAAAAAGTTGAATCACAGTAGTCATGCGGACGGTCGACACCAGGGTGGGTTGTCATGCAGGCATCCCCGGGGGCCGAGCCAGGGTGGGGGGTTGACCTCCGGACCCCTGGCGAGTGGATCTTTGACCCTCGCCCCTTTACCCCCACCTCTGCCCCAACCCCGGCACCTCCGTTGCCCCTTCACACCCGCCCCCGCCCCC